CTGAGCACAGCCAAGGGCGCGGAGGTGGGATGGGCCCTCCAGCCCTGCCTGGGCGGTCCAGTCGCGTCTGGAAAGCTAACCCGCGTGCCCTGGCCGCTCCACATTTCCCTCGCAAACTCCATTCAAATGCGTGGAAGGCACCCGCCTCCCTGCCTCCGCCCCCAGGCATGCCTTCGCGAGGACTCGGGGCAGGGGCAGGGAGGAGAGGACCCTCGTCCTGGGCAGCGCCCTCCCCGCGCCTCGGGCCCCTCTTCGCCTTGGGGTGCTCACAGACGGACGGCCAAAGGTCGCGCGTGGGGCGCCGGTCCGGCCCTGCGCCGGTTCCCAGCACCTGCCCGCCCCACCTGGCTCGGGCGTCCGGACCGGCCGCCGCCCGCAGACGGGACGGGGCGGGGCCGAGCAGGTTTAAATTCGCTCGGCGCCGGCGCGGGCCGTGGAGCCGGCGGAGGGCAGCGCACGGTCCCGGTCCCGGAGCACGCAGGTGGGACATCGGGCGGGGGAGCGGCGGCCCCGGGAAACGAAACAACTGCACGCGGCCGGCCGGGGCGCAGAGGCTGGGGAAGGGGCGCCGGTGGGGGCGCAACGCGCCGGCGTCGGGGTCGGGGCTCCGGGCAAGCGCTCGGCTGTCGTCCCACCTGGGCTGTCTGAGCGCCGGCCAGGCGGGGGCCGGGCAGCGGGGTCACTGCGGCCAGGCCCTTGCCCTACCAGCTCTGGTGGGCGAGGGTCCACAGGCAGTGGCCCCCAGCCGGGCTGTGGGTGAGGAGACTGGGGTTCCCCACGTGGGTGTGGGAGACGCGGCGCTTGGGGCGGGGGTCTCGCCCGCCCAGCAGTTTCCTGGCAGGACGGGTGCGCCTCTCTGGGCAGGGCCCTGCAGGTCGGGTTCCTCCCTGTTCCCCACTCCCAACTTGTAGGGCAGGGGGCGGGGGCGGGGCGTTTGCGATTGGAACAGGCCCAGGCACCTAAGCGGACAAATTGAGGGCGGTGGGGCTCCTGCCTGAGGTACTGAGGTGCTGACCCACTGAGGGAGCTGTCTTGTCTGGCTGGTGTGAACAGGGACCCCTAGGCATGTCATCCTTGGACCCTTGGGAGCCAGGCGTGGGAAGGGCTCTGCTCCGCCTGTGCCCCACCCCCCACCTCCACCCCGCCAAGATTCTATCAGGCCATTGATCTCTGTCCTTCTGCATCTGGGCAGGTCTTCCTGCAGCTGCCCACAGCAGGGCAAAGGTCATTGCCTCCCTGCGTGAGGCAGCCTGGCCACCTGGTTCTGTTCAGATCTGGCTCAGAGGGGCAGCCAGCTGGCTTCCAGCTCGCACCCCTGAAGCTGACGGTGGGTGCTGACAGTACAGTGCCCCGACTCAGGAATGCAGTTCGAATCCATCCTCAGGAATTCAGTTTGAATCTCACTCCCTGTCGCCTGGGGCCCTGGAGGTGGGGCCACTCCTGGGAAGCCACAGGAGGGCCCTCCCTTCTCAAACTCCCCTTTTTTGGAGGGGGAGAGGATCTGCTCAGCGACCCCCTTCCAGCCCCACAGCCACCAGCCCCTTCCCACACTGCCGACTTCCGCTGGTGGCCACTTCTCTGGGACACCCATTTTTTATTTCTGTGACACTGGGCCTGCCTGGGCATCTCGCCGCCCAGACTCTGGACACCCTCACATGCCCTGATCAAACCCCAGAGCCTCTGCCCAGTCACCTTCCCAAGATCCCCACTACGGACTCCAGACACCTGCTCCCAGGATCCTCCTCACATCAGTGCAGACAGAACCGGGCCTGGCCAGCTGCGGCCCCACCACTTTCTGCTCTCTGTGCCCCTCAGGCACCGCCCCCTCCCTCCCTCCGAGTCCCTTTGTAACCCAAAGTGAAGCTTGTCTGGACCCCTCTGGTTTCCTGTCCAGGCCAAGGGCCACACACATCAGTGCCCACCTGGTCACCCTACTTCCAAGGTGAAAGCCCTTCCCCCTCTTTACTGGGTAGAGAGATGCCTCTCTTCTCTCCGGCCCTGTTACCAGGGGCTCCTGCTGAGACAGGGCGGGGCACAAAGCACCTGTCCAGGTGGGTCCTGGGAGCAGAATGACATGGACAGTATCAGGGAGGACCTCAGGAGGGCCCCCATGGACAGGAAGAGGAAGCAGAGGCACCAAAAGACAAGCTGATCTGTGGCACAGTGTCACTGACCCCAGAGGAGCTCAGGGCAGCCCTGTGTCCACCACGATCACACCAAGCCCACTCCAGGTGCCGATGGCATCTCTTCCTGGGGAAATGCATAAGGAGACAGCGAGCAGATGGACCTCAGCTCCCAGTGTGCTGACCCTCGTCCCTGAGGTCCTCTCTCAAGCCAGGGCAGTGGCACTTGTCCGCTTGCTGCCAGAACCAGGTAGAGGAGGAGCCAGGTGGGCCACCAAGGCACCCCCCCCCCCTGCACAGGCCCCTCCCCCTCCTGGTGGTTATGTCATTTCCCCTGGGCAGTCTCTGCTCTTCTGGCCTCGTGGTCCCACTAGCAGCCATGGCCGTCAGCTCAGTGGGACTAGAGCTGTGTCCCCTGGCGGAAGTGGTCATCCTCTGGGATAAGGACATTTAAACCCACCGACCCCGGAGCTTTGGGAAGAGGACAAGCTCCCACTGGGTCAGTGTGGGGACGGTGGGGTCACAACTGCTCTTATCCTTTGGTTCCTGGACCCACGTGGTCCCCCTCTTGGGGGATGGGATGGGGCTTCCTGTGAGCTGGTGTTTCCGAGGTGCCTTCAGTGGCCCGGTCACAGTGAAACCCCCTCAACCTGCCCAGCCCTACAGAGATCAGTGCCTCTCCACGGACCACTACGAGGCCCCAGGTGTCCACGTAGGCTTTTGCTATCCAGCTGGTCACATGTGCTCACATGCCTGATTCTGTGCTGAGCACACCCACCTGGACAGTCGCTCACTGCTGGGAAGCTGGACCATGGTAGTGCCTCCTGGGGCCTGGCTCTCACAGCCAACCGCAGCCCCTCCAAGCCCCGCCCTGTGTCTGCCTGAGACTGAGCAGCAGATCGGCTGCAGGGTGCCCCCAGAGCCTCTGGGCCAGCATCCGTGCAAGAGAGGGGGGGAGGGGGCTGACAGGGTCTCAGCAGGCCCCCGAGGGGTTGACTCCAAGGGGGCAGCTGTGGGGCCATCTGCCCGCAGCCATCCCTGTGATGGGGTCTGTGTCAAAACCCTGGATTCTTACTGCTGACAGCAGGGACCCAGCACCCATTTCCACCAGGTGGCCCCTGCACAGCCCTGGTCTCTGCCGATGTCTTCTCATGAGTCTTAGCCCCCACTCAGGTGTTCACTTGCTGACCCCTCCTGCTCCGCCCTACAGGACAGCTGTGGGCACGGACAGTAGATGGGCCGGGGGAGGGGCACCCCTCATGGGGCCAGCTGGGGGGTTCGGGGCCCAAGATCTCAGAGTGGCCCGCAGCTGTGGGTGCCATGGGGAACAAGACTGCTTGTGAGGCCACCGGGTGCAAATGTCCAGGAGGCAGCTGGACTCAAGGTTCTGGGACAGGGACGGGCTGGGCTCAGTGGCAGCTTTGGGGGCCGAGGCAGTCTCAAGGAGCTCTGAGTCAGAGGTAAGTGGAGATGGGGCAGAACCATGTCACTAGAGCAAGGGTCCCCATGCCTGGAGGTCGGAGCAGCCAGACCCAAAACAGGTTTGTCAGATTTGACAACCAGAATCTGAGGTCACCTCAGCCAAGGCTGGGAAGTGGGGGGAGAGGGGCAGCAGGGAGCGAGGGCGTGGGCCAGGAGAGGGTGCCGTGGGTGTGGTTCCGGGGAAGCGAAGAAGGGCCGTTCGCAGGGTGGAGAGGGAGGGCTATCACAACAGTTCCCACAGCCTGGGCGGCTTAAAACAACAGAAGCAGATTCTCACCCTGCAGAGGCCAGAGTCTGAAATCAGTGCTTCTGGAATTTGGCGGCAACCGCGGGGTTCCGGGCTGCGTGGCGCCAATCTGCCTCCAGCATCACGGGCGTTGTCCCTGTGTCTGTCTTCCTGAGGACACCAGACATGTCGGATCAGGGCCCTCCCAGCTCCCCGGTGACCTCGGCTTAATTTAATTACGTCTGCAAAGACCTCATTGCCAAACAAGGCCACAGTCCCAGGGACTGGAGGTGAGGACCTAGACGTGCTTTTGGGGAACACGGTTTAAGCTGGCATGGAGGAAACAGCCTGGCAGAGGTCAGGCACCTGGCACCACTGCTCAGAGCAGTGCCCATGGCGGTCTGCTGAGAGGGGACACGGGGGGTGCTGGGCTTTGAGCCAGCTGACCAGGACCAAAGGGCTAGAGAGTGTGCCTGGCCCTGCCCACTGCCCTACAGGACCAGCACGGAGCACTGAATCTTTGGTGTCCTGGGCCCCCCACGTGTGCCAGGTGTGGGCGCAGAGAGGCCATATGTGGGTCGGGGGGCGCAGAGTAGGACAGAGCCAGGCTGAGAGGGGGATCTTTGGGATCAGGGTGGGATCAGAGGGTGGAGGAGGGGAATGCAGGGGAGTGGCTGCCGCCCAGCAGGGAGCTGGAGGGAGGGGCTGAGTCTGAAGGTCACTGGGAGAAAGACAGGGTGGGAGCTGTTTATAAACACGGGTGGTGAGGCTCAGCCTTGGGGAGCAAAGAAGAGGGCCATGCCGTTGGAGGTGTGGGTGCTGCAGGCGTGCGTGGCTGAGGCCAGATGCAAGCATGCAGGGTCCCAAGACATGGGTGGTGGGTGACGAGGGTGTTGGGCTGGGATGGAGGCCTGCAGACGGCCTGCAGGAGAAAGCAGAGGCCATCCTGCTGGCCGGGGGGTCCCTGTGCTCACTGTCCCTCTGGGGACCAGGCTAGGAGAGTGGAGGGACCTCACTTGCATACTGAACCTGATCCCCCAGAATCTGGGCTTGCTCCCTGACCATCCACCTGGGCCATCCAGGGCCCCTAACGGACCCTTTCCATCCTCTGCAGGGAGCAGACACAGCGGATCTTGGGCAAGTGAGTTCTGCACAGCCAGCTGGGCACCATGAACGGCCATGCCTCTCCTCTTGATGTCCCCGTCACCAACAGCACAGAGCCGGCCATCGTCGCCAAGACCATGAAGGCCGTGCAGGATGCCAGCAGTCCCTCTGGGCCCCAGGCCAGGAGCGTCGCTGGGGTACTCGTGGAGGCCTCGGGCCAGGCCCTGAGTCTCTATGCCGCCAGGAAGCAGGGCCTCCTGCCCGATGGGCTTGGGCTGGCTCTGCTGGAGGCCCAGGCGGCCACTGGGGGCCTCGTGGACCCCGCCCAGGGCCAGCTGCTCCCTGTGTCTGAGGCCCTGCAGCAGGGTCTGGTGGGCCTGGAGCTGAGGGAGAAGCTTCTGGCTGCAGAGCTGGCCGTCACTGGGTACCCTGATCCCTATGGGGGTGAGAAGCTGTCCCTCTTCCAGGCCATTGGGAAGGAGATTGTGGACAGGGCACTGGGGTGGAGCTGGCTGGAGGCTCAGCTGGCCACCGGGGGCCTGGTGGACCCCATCCGGGGCGTGCGCGTGGCCCCAGACCTGGCCTGCCAGCAGGGCCTCCTGGACCAGGAGACGTGGCACGGCCTGTCGGAGCGTGAGCCAGACTTCCTGGATCCCAACACACTGGAGCAGCTGTCCTACAGCGAGCTGCTGGGCAGGTGTGTGCAGGCCCCCAGCACAGGGCTGGCCCTGCTGCCCCTCAAGACCACCTTCCGCACCCTGAGTGGGGCGGCAAGCTTGGCTGAGCTGCTGGAGGCCGGGGTGCTGGATGGGGAGACTGTCCAGGGCCTACAGGAGGGCAGGCTGGCTGTGCAGGACGTGAGTGCACGCCCCGAGGTTCGGCGCTACCTGCAGGGCACCGGCGGTGTGGCAGGGGTGGTCCTGCTGCCTGCTGGCCACAAGAAGAGCTTCTCCCAGGCTGTTGCTGAGCACCTGCTCCCCTTGGGTGTCGCACTTCCGCTCCTCGAGGCTCAGGCTGCCACCTGCAGTCTGGTGGATCCTGCCAGCGGCCGGGTGCTGTGTGTGAATGAGGCGGTCAGGGCAGGACTGGTCGGCCCAGAGCTGCACGGGCAGCTCCTGGAGGCAGAGCAGGCGGTGAAAGGGTTCCATGACCCCTTCAGTGGCACCCGCATCCCCCTCTTCCAGGCCATGAAGAAAGAGCTGGTGGACAAGCCTCTGGCAGTGCGGCTCCTGGACGCACAGCTAGCCACGGGAGGGCTAGTGTGTCCAGCCCGCAGGTTCCGGCTGCCCCTAGAGGCTGCCCTGCGCTTTGCCTGCCTAGATGAGGAGACACGGCAGCATCTCTCACAGGCCGCTGGCTTCTCAGACCCCAGCACACAGGAGAGCCTCAGCTACGGGCAGCTGCTGGCCCGCTGTGTCACCGACCCAGAGACGGGGCTGGCCTTCCTGCCCCTGTCCAGGGAGGCTCTTGGAGAGGAGCCGCAGGGACCCTCGTTCATTGAGCACAGCACCCGCCAGGCCTTGAGTGCGGCCATGACCACCATCTCCGTGGGCAAGTTTCAGGGCCGGCCTGTGTCGCTGTGGGAACTGCTCTTCTCCGAGGCCGTCCCCGTGGAGCAGAGGGCGGCGCTGGCGCAGCAGCACCAGCAAGGGGCCCTGCCGGTGGAGGAGCTGGCAGCTGAGCTGAGGGCCACTCTGGAGCAGGCTGCAGCCACGGCCAGCACCACCTTCCCTGGGCTGAGGGTCCCCGTGACCCCAGGCGAGCTGCTGCAAGCAGAGATCATCGGCCAGGATGTGTACGAGCAGCTGGAACGGGGACAGACCACGGCCCAGCACGTGGGCAGTCTGGACTCGGTGCAGAGGTACCTGCAGGGCACCGGCTGCATCGCCGGCCTGCTGCTGCCCGGCTCCCAGGAGCGGCTCAGTGTCTATGAGGCTCACAGGAAGGGGCTGCTCAGGCCGGGCACAGCCCTCATCCTGCTGGAAGCACAGGCAGCCACGGGCTTCATCATCGACCCGAAAGAAAACAAGAGATACTCTGTGCAAGAGGCGCTGAGGGCCGGCGTCATCGGGCCCAACGTGTTCGCCAAGCTGCAGTCGGCGGAGCGCGCGGTCACCGGCTACACCGACCCCTACACCGGGGAGCAGATCTCCCTCTTCCAGGCCATGAAAAAGGACCTCATCGTCAAGGACCACGGCATCCGCCTGCTGGAGGCCCAGATCGCCACGGGCGGCATCATCGACCCGGTGCACAGCCACCGGGTGCCCGTGCACGTGGCCTACCAGCGTGGCTACTTCGACCAGACGCTAAATTTGATCCTGGCCGACCCGAGCGACGACACCAAGGGCTTCTTCGACCCCAACACTCACGAGAACCTCACGTACCTGCAGCTGCTGGAGCGCTGCGTGCGCGACCCCGAGACGGGCCTCTACCTGCTGCCGCTGAGCAGTGCGCAGCCGGAGCTGGTGAACAGCGCCACCCGGCGGGCCTTCCAGAAGCTGCTGCTGACGGGGAGGTACGGGCGGTTCCGGGGACGGCAGGTGTCCGCGTGGGAGCTGCTCAACTCCGAATGCGTCAGCGAGGCCCGGCGGAGGGACCTCCTGCACCGCTACCGGCTGCGCCAGATCTCCCTGGAGCAGGTGGCCACGCTGCTGCAGAGGGAGGCCGCGCGGTGCGCGCAGGTCACGCTGCCGGTGCTGCGGGGCCAGGTCACCGCCTACCAGCTCCTGGAGGCCCGCATCATCGACCAGGAACTCCTGGACCGGCTGCTGGGCGGGGAGGTCAGCCCCGAGGCCCTGCTCGGCCTAGAGGAGGTCCGCAGGCACCTGCGCGGCTCGGGCGCTGTGGGCGGTGTGCTGCTGCCGTCCAACCAGAGGCTCAGCCTCTACCAGGCCATGAAGCGGAAGCTGCTGGGGCCAGGAGTTGTCCTGGCCCTGCTGGAGGCCCAGGCAGCCACCGGAGCCCTGACTGACCCCCACAGCCTGGAGACTCTGTCGGTGGAAGAGGCCGTGCGCAGAGAGCTGGTGGGGCCAGAGCTGTATGCCCGGCTGAGACGGGCTGAGCATGCCCTGACCGGCTTCAGAGACCCCTTTTCTGGGGAGCGGGTATCCCTGTTCCAGGCCATGAAGAAGGGACTTGTCCGCGAGGAGCAGGCTGCCCGCCTCCTAGAGGCCCAGGTGGTCACAGGAGGGGTCATTGACCCCACAGGCCACTATCACCTCCCTATGCCTGTGGCCACCCAGCGTGGCTACATCGACCAGGAAATGGAGACAGCCCTGTCCAGCTCCTCCGAGACCTTCCCCACCCCAGATGGCCGAGGACACACCAGCTACACCGGGCTTCTGGGACAGTGTCTGAAGGATGAGGCCTCTGGCCTTTACCTCCTGCCCCTGCAGGAAAGTGCTCCTGCCACCCTCACAGACGAGCAGGTCCAGGAGACCCTGCAGGCCACGCAGGGGGCCGAGGACGGCACATCCCTCTGGGAGCTGCTGGTCTCCTGCCACTTCACCGAGGAGCAGCGGAGGGGCTTCTTGGAAGACTTCCAGGCGGGGAAGACCACCTTGCAGCAGCTGCAGGCTGCGGTGCAGAGCTGGGTGCGAGGGGCGAAGCTGCTGGCGCAGGCCCGTGTCACAGTGCCTGGCCCTCGGGGCCAGGTTCCTGCTGTCTGGCTGCTGGACGCTGGCATCATCACCCAGGAGACCCTGTCGGCGCTGGCTCAGGGCACACGATCACCCGCGGAGGTCGCTGAAGAGCCTGCGGTGAAGGCTTGCCTGCGGGGCACGGGCTGTGTGGCTGGTGTGCTGCTGCAGCCCTCAGGGACCAAGGCCAGCATCACCCAGGCCATGAAGGATGGCCTCCTGCCTGCGGGCCTCGGGCAGAGACTGCTGGAGGCCCAGGTGGCATCCAGCTCACTCATTGACCCTCTGACCAACCAGAGACTGTCTGTGGAAGATGCGATCAAGACCGGTCTGGTGAGCGGGACACTGAGTGAGCAGCTCCGGCAGGCCGAGAGGGCAGTGACTGGGTACACAGACCCCTACTCAGCGGGCTCCCTCTCCCTGTGGCAGGCCATGGAGAAGGGGCTTGTGCCCCAGAGCGAGGGCCGCCCCCTCCTGCAGGCACAGCTGGCCACAGGGGGTGTGGTGGACCCCATACATGGGGTGCACCTTCCCCAGGTGGCAGCCTGCAGGCTCGGCCTCTTGGATGAGCAGATGAGCCAGGCGCTGACAGGGACAGATGAGGACAGCAAGTTCTTCTTTGACCCTAGCGCACGAGAAAAGGTGACATACCAGCAGCTTAAGGAGCGCTGTGTCCTCGATGCGGACACTGGCCTATGGCTGCTGCCGCTTCCCCAGGACATGGCACTGGAGGTGGACAACCACACCGCAGTGGCCTTGAGGGCCATGAAGGTGCCTGTCGGTGCCGGGAGGTTCAAAGGGCTCACCGTGTCGCTCTGGGACCTGCTGCACTCCGAGTATGTCAGTGTCCATAAGCGGCAGGAGCTGGCGGCGCTCTGCCAGTCCGGGAGGGCCACAGCCCTGCGGCAGGTGGTCAGCGCAGTCACCGCCCTGGTCGAGGCCTCAGAGAGGAAGCCCTCACAGGCCACCTTCAGAGGGCTCCGGAAGCAGGTGTCGGCCAGTGACCTGTTCAGGTCCCAGGTCATTGACAAGAAGACGCTGGACGAGCTGAATCAGGGAACAAGGACTGTGCAGGAGGTGACAGAGATGGACAGCGTGAGACACTTCCTGGAAGGAGGCAACTTCATCGCTGGGGTGCTTGTTCAGGCCACAAAGCAGAGGATGAGCATCTCAGAGGCCCTGAGGAAAAGCATCCTGCGGCCGGGCACCGCCCTGGTGCTGCTGGAGGCCCAGGCCGCCACTGGCTTCCTCATCGACCCCGTGGAGAACCAGAAGCTGACTGTGGAGGAAGCATTCAGGGCAGGGATGTTTGGCAAGGAAACCTACCAGAAGCTGCTGTCGGCGGAGCGCGCAGTCACCGGCTACACCGACCCCTACACCGGGGAGCAGATCTCCCTCTTCCAGGCCATGAAGAAGGACCTCATCGTCAGGGACCACGGCATCCGCCTGCTGGAGGCCCAGATCGCCACGGGCGGCATCATCGACCCCGTGCACAGCCACCGGGTGCCCGTGCACGTGGCCTACCAGCGTGGCTACTTCGACGAGGAGATGAACCGTGTCTTGGCTGACCCGAGCGACGACACCAAGGGCTTCTTCGACCCCAACACTCACGAGAACCTCACGTACCTGCAGCTGCTGGAGCGCTGTGTGCGCGACCCCGAGACGGGCCTGTACATGTTACAAATTGTGAAGAAAGGAGAGATGTACATGTACATCGACGAGGCCACAAGACAGGCTCTGCGGTCACAGACCACAACCATGTGCGTGGGGAGGTTTGCAGGTCAGAGCATCTCCATCTGGGACCTGCTGTCCTCTCAGTACTTCTCGGAGGAGAGGCGGCGGGAACTGGTCCAGCAGTACCGAACCCAGACCGTGAGTCTGCCGCAGTTGCTGGGGATCCTCACCACCACAGTCGAAGAGACAGAGAAGCAACACCAGGTCATCAAGGTGGCAGGCATTGGTGGGGAGGTGACAGCCGCAGACTTGTTCAGTGCTGGGATCATCGACAGAAAGACCCTGGACACGCTGGACGGGGCACAGGCCCTCCGCCGGCTGAAGCAGGTGAAGACATACCTGGAAGGCAGTGGCTGCATTGCGGGGGTGACTGTCCCCTCCACGCAGGAGGTGATGAGCTTCTATGAGGCCAGCACGAGGGGACTCATCCCCACAGGGTTTGCGGCCCTGATGCTGGAGGCCCAGGCAGCCACAGGGTTCATGCTGGACCCCCACAGCCACCAGCGGCTCTCCGTGGATGAGGCTATAGCTACTGGCCTGGTGGGCGAGGAGCTTCAGGAGAGGCTGCTGAATGCCGAGAAGGCTGCCAAAGGCTATGCAGATCCAGACACGGGGAACACGGTCTCACTGTTCCAGGCCATGGAAAGGAAGTTAGTCAAACGCGAGGAGGCGCTCAGACTGCTGGAAGTGCAGGTGGCCACGGGGGGCATCATTGACCCGCTTCACCACCACCGGCTCCCACTGGACACGGCCTATGAGCGCGGATGTCTGCACCGAGACACGTACCCAATCGTATCTGATCAAAAACATATGAATAAGAGGTTCGTGGATCCCAACACGCATGAGAAGGTGTCCTACCAGGAGCTTCAGGAGAGAAGCCGCCGGGAACAGGGGTCGGACTGGGCTCTGTTCCCCATAATCCGCGATGGAAAGGATGCCACGTACATCGATGAAGCCACCAGAAGAGCCCTTGAGGTCGAGCGGGTGGAAGTCACGGTGGGCAGGTTCAGAGGACAGAGACCCTCGGTGTGGGAGCTACTGAACTCTGAGTATGTGACAGAGGAGAAAAAGCTGGAACTGGTAGGAAATTACAAGAGTGACACGGCCCACGCTCTGGGCAAGGTGGTGAAAGTGATCTTCGCCATGATTGAGGAGAAGGAAAGGAGTGTGAAGCAGTTGTGGTTCAGGGGAATCCGGAGACAGATCACGGCCTTGGAACTCTTCAAATCCGCCATCATCACCAAGGAGACACTGCAGAACCTCGAGGAGGGGCGCAGCACAGTGGACCACGTCGAGCAGGAGGAGAGCGTGAGTCGCTACCTGGAGGGCACGAGCTGCATCGCGGGCGTGCTGGTGCCCGCCAAGGACCAGCCCGAGAGGCAGGAGAAGATGAGCGTCTACCAGGCCATGTGGAAGGGGCTCTTGCGGCCGGGCACGGCCCTGGTGCTGCTGGAGGCCCAGGCCGCCACCGGCTTCGTCATCGACCCCGTGCGCAACCAGAGGCTGTCAGTGGACGAGGCGGTGGCCGCGGGCGTGGTGGGCGGCGAGATACGGGACAAGCTGCTGTCGGCCGAGCAGGCGGTCACCGGCTACACCGACCCCTACACCGGGGAGCAGATCTCCCTCTTCCAGGCCATGAAGAAGGACCTCATCGTCAGGGACCACGGCATCCGCCTGCTGGAGGCCCAGATCGCCACGGGCGGCATCATCGACCCTGTACACAGCCACCGGGTGCCCGTGCACGTGGCCTACAAGCGTGGCCACTTTGACGAGGAGATGAACCGCATCCTGGCCGACCCCAGCGACGACACCAAGGGCTTCTTCGACCCCAACACGCACGAGAACCTCACGTACCTGCAGCTGCTGCGGCGCTGCGTGCGCGACCCCGACACGGGGCTGTACATGCTGCAGATGGCCAGCCAGGGCTCGGCCCTGCACCAGCTGAGCGAGGCGCTGCGCCGCGCCCTGCAGGACCTCCGTGTGCCGCTGCCGCCGGGGACGGGCGTCACTCAGGGTCAGGACGTGTCCGTCTGGGAGCTCCTTTTCTACCGGGAGGTGTCCGAGAGCCTGCGGCAGGACCTGCTGCTCAGGTACCAGGCGGGCAAGCTGACCGCGCAGGACGTGGGCGCCTCGCTCACCTCGCTGCTGGCCCGGGCCGAGGAAGGGAGCCCGTGGCCGGCCCCTGCAGACCCTCAGAGGGCCCTTCGTGCCGCCACCATGGAAGTAAAAGTGGGCCCCCTACGAGGACCGGCCGTGCCCGTGTGGGACGTCCTGGAGTCCAGCTACGTGAGCGCCAACAAGAGGGAGCAGCTGCTGGCCCAGTTCCGCTCGGGGAGGCTGGGCCTGCCGGCGCTGACCCGCCGGCTGACCACCATCATCGAGGAGGTAGAGGTGGCCCAGGGGCCCGAGCACGCAGAGGGGGTCGCCACAGCCGGCCAGCAGGAGTCCACCCCGCTGGGGCCCGGTGAGGGCGAGGCCTACACCGAGGCCGCCAGGCGCCGCCAGGAGCAGGACCTGCGTGCCGCCACCATGGAGGTGCGTGTCGGGCGATTCCGAGGGCAGTGTGTCTCTCTGTGGGACGTCCTGTTCTCCTCCTACCTGAGCCAGGCCCGCCGGGAAGAGCTCCTGGCCCAGCACGCGGCCGGCGACCTGGCCCTGCCCGGCCTGGTGGCCATCCTCACGCAGCTCATCGAGGAGTCGGAAGAGCGCCTCAGCAAGGTGTCCTTCCGGGGCCTGAGGCACCAGGTGTCCGCGTCCCAGCTGGGCATGTCCGGCGTCCTGGACCCCGAGACCCTGCAGGGCCTGGCCCAGGGCACCAAGAGCCCTCAGGAGGTGATGAAGATGGACTCGGTCAAGCGCTACCTGGAGGGCACGAGCTGCATCGCGGGCGTGCTGGTGCCCGCCAAGGACCAGCCCGAGAGGCAGGAGAAGATGAGCGTCTACCAGGCCATGTGGAAGGGGCTCTTGCGGCCGGGCACGGCCCTGGTGCTGCTGGAGGCCCAGGCCGCCACCGGCTTCATCATCGACCCCGTGCGCAACCAGAAGCTGTCTGTGGACGAGGCGGTGGCCGCGGGCGTGGTGGGCGGCGAGATCCGGGACAAGTTGCTGTCGGCCGAGCAGGCGGTCACCGGCTACACCGACCCCTACACCGGGGAGCAGATCTCCCTCTTCCAGGCCATGAAGAAGGACCTCATCGTCAGGGACCACGGCATCCGCCTGCTGGAGGCCCAGATCGCCACGGGCGGCATCATCGACCCTGTGCACAGCCACCGGGTGCCCGTGCACGTGGCCTACCAGCACGGCCACTTCGATGAGGAGATGAACTGCGTCCTGGCCGACCCCAGCGACGACACCAAGGGCTTCTTCGACCCCAACACGCACGAGAACCTCACGTACCTGCAGCTGCTGCGGCGCTGCGTGCGCGACCCCGACACGGGGCTGTACATGCTGCAGATGGCCGGCCAGGGCTCCGCCCTGCACCAGCTGAGCGAGGCGCTGCGCCGCGCCCTGCAGGACCTCCGTGTGCCGCTGCCGCCGGGGACGGGCGTCACTCAGGGTCAGGACGTGTCCGTCTGGGAGCTCCTCTTCTACCGGGAGGTGTCCGAGAGCCTGCGGCAGGACCTGCTGCTCAGGTACCAGGCGGGCAAGCTGACCGCGCAGGACGTGGGCGCCTCGCTCACCTCGCTGCTGGCCCGGGCCGAGGAAGGGAGCCCGCGGCCGGCCCCTGCAGACCCTCAGAGGGCCCTTCGTGCCGCCACCATGGAGGTCAAGGTGGGCCCCCTGCGGGGACCGGCCGTGCCCGTGTGGGACGTCCTGGAGTCCAGCTACGTGAGCACTGACAGGAGGGAGCAGCTGCTGGCCCAGTTCCGCTCGGGGAGGCTGGGCCTGCCGGCGCTGACCCACCAGCTGACCACCATCATCGAGGAGGTAGAGGTGGCCCAGGGGCCCGAGCACGCAGAGGGGGTCGCCACAGCCGGCCAGCAGGAGTCCACCCCGCTGGGGCCCGGTGAGGGCGAGGCCTACACCGAGGCCGCCAGGCGCCGCCAGGAGCAGGACCTGCGTGCCGCCACCATGGAGGTGCGTGTCGGGCGATTCCGAGGGCAGCGTGTCTCTCTGTGGGACGTCCTGTTCTCCTCCTACCTGAGCCAGGCCCGCCGGGAAGAGCTCCTGGCCCAGCACGCGGCCGGCGACCTGGCCCTGCCCGGCCTGGTGGCCATCCTCACGCAGCTCATCGAGGAGTCGGAAGAGCGCCTCAGCAAGGTGTCCTTCCGGGGCCTGAGGCACCAGGTGTCCGCGTCCCAGCTGGGCATGTCCGGCGTCCTGGACCCCGAGACCCTGCAGGGCCTGGCCCAGGGCACCAAGAGCCCTCAGGAGGTGATGAAGATGGACTCGGTCAAGCGCTACCTGGAGGGCACGAGCTGCATCGCGGGCGTGCTGGTGCCCGCCAAGGACCAGCCCGAGAGGCAGGAGAAGATGAGCGTCTACCAGGCCATGTGGAAGGGGCTCTTGCGGCCGGGCACGGCCCTGGTGCTGCTGGAGGCCCAGGCCGCCACCGGCTTCATCATCGATCCCGTGCGCAACCAGAAGCTGTCTGTGGACGAGGCGGTGGCCGCGGGCGTGGTGGGTGGCGAGATCCGGAACAAGCTGCTGTCGGCGGAGCGCGCCGTCACCGGCTACACCGACCCCTACACCGGGGAGCAGATCTCCCTCTTCCAGGCCATGAAGAAGGACCTCATCGTCAGGGACCACGGCATCCGCCTGCTGGAGGCCCAGATCGCCACGGGCGGCATCATCGACCCTGTGCACAGCCACCGGGTGCCCGTGCACGTGGCCTACCAGTGTGGCTACTTTGACGAGGAGATGAACCGTGTCCTGGCGGACCCGAGCGACGACACCAAAGGCTTCTTTGACCCCAACACGCATGAGAACCTCACCTATATGCAACTGCTCAAGAAGGCTACTGTTGACCCTGAAACCGGCCTCTTATTTCTTTCTCTCTTGTGAGTGAATGGACTTTTTAAGTGGTTTAGGTGGACTCTCAAATATATCTATACTAGTTTATCACGTTTTAAATTTTTCTTAATGACGTTTCACTTACTCTTTTATACATGTGGTAACTTTGATTCTTTTCTATTGTGTTTCCAGTGTCCTATATGTTTCCTTTGCATTAAAATAAGGACATACTCCTCTGCAGTTTTTATCATGACTTATTCTGCTGCTCTGTCTTCCGAATGTTCAATGTGTTTTTATTTCATAGCACATTGGCAGGTAACCCTCCCTGATAAACTCTGATGCACTTAGAACAAAAAACTCTTTCCCTGGCTGGTTTGGCTCAGTAGTTAGAGGGTCGGCCCGGGGACTGAAGGGTTCTGGGTTCTGTGCTGGTCAAGGGCACATACCTGGGTTCTAGGTTTGATCCCCAGTTTCGGTCGTGCAGGAGGCAACCAATTGATGTGTGTCTCTCACATCGATGTTTCTCTTTCTTTCCCACCCTCCCTCCCTCCTTTCCGTCCATTCTATCTAATGCATATATCAAGGGGGAAATATCCTCGTGTGAGGATTAACAAAAAACACACAAAAAACTCTTTTTCTCAGCATTTCAGCCTATCACACTGAGGTGCATACATTACTTTGTATATTCCAATTTTTATAAAATGCCTTTCTTTTGATTATGAATTCATTGATCCTTTTTTGTGCTAATTCATTCGTCATCAATTCTGTGTTTTGTTACCTCACTGCTTTCAATTTAGGGTCCCCCTGCTGTGGCCATCCATCCCACCCCTCTGCTGGGCAAATGCCCAGGGTGGTTGTCTCGTGGTGCAGCTCCTCCTAGTAGAAACTATGACATTTACAATTTGCAAAGAAATGTTTATGTATGAATTTGATTTCACATATTTGAATGTTCATCCACAAAACTGTATATCCTCATAGTACACATCAAAGATTAAATGAGGAAAATAAGTATGGAAAAGCTAGGACAGACAACATAGAACCGTGTCTCAGAACAGTCTCTGAACTGTTGCGGTTGGGTCATGCTCAGAGCCTCCCGGATGAGGCTAGAACGTCAGTCGTTGATTGGACAGGTCTAGTTGGGGCAGGTGAGTGACATTTTGCAGGCTTGCCCTGGAGCAAGATGGAAACCTGGAGCAGAGGAACAGCAGCTGCAGTGGCCTGTGACCATGCTGGTCCTGAAAGGGGTCAAATGCTGGGATGCTGAAGGCCGGGAAAAAGAAGGTGTCCCAAGGGACTTTGAGAGACCACTGGGGCTGAAGGCCATTGCACAGAGATGGAGAAGCAGGGGTTCCGTGTTGAAGTTACATGTGAGAGGAGGCAAGCACGCGTCCTCTTCTTTCTGTCTAAAAAGAGAACATGAAGCGTAGGTGAGGAATCAGCTGGTGTGACCAGGAGGAGGCCATGAGAAGTGGGGGTTGTGGGGTAAAGGGGGATTTAGATGAGAATTCTAGAGCTGGTCCCTTGTTAATGTGGCTGGAGGCAGTGGTGTGGAGAGCCTCCTGGGAAAAGGGGGCTACATGTGAGTTGGGCTGGGGCACCCCCCATGGCTCCACTGTTCCAGGGTAAGGGAAAGCACTGAACCAGCGGCCAATGGGAGGTTTGGGGTCATAAATAAGTCAACAGGCAGCCTGTTTGTGTAGCTTTTTGTTACCTTCACTGACTCTCCCAGGTACTCCGTGCGCTGCCCTCCCAGCCGCCCGGTCCCAGGCATTCCCCCAGCCCCCAAGGGAGCAACCCCAGGCCGAGTGGGCTGCCCCAGACCCCACTCCACACAGGGTCCACGCTAGGTCCACGCTAGGGGGAAGCCCGGGTTCCCGGACGTGCGTGACAGAGCTGGGTAGGGAAGCGGTGCGGGAGAACGCGCAACTCCAAGAGCGGGGCTGGGGCGGTTCCCGCGACCCCTAGCCGGGCCCGGTCCGCGCAGGCCCCAGGGCGACCCCGACGGACGCAGCTCCAGGCCGCGCTAAACCCCGTGAGGCCGGGCTGCTCGGTTCGCGTGGGTCCGGGGACCCCCTCTGGAGAGGCCCTGGCCTGGAGAAGCAGGAGGCCGGCCCCGGACCACGCCACTCCAGCGCGCGCCGCCGGGTGGGCGGAGCCCTAGGCAGGGTTGGGCGGGGCCCCGTGTCAGACAGAGCTTGAGGGCGGAGGCTTGTCCGCGGAGAGGCCCGAGCGGGGCGGGGCCGAGCGGGGCGGGGCTGAGCGTGAGCCAGAGGTAGGCGGGGCTGCGGGGCTCCGGGACCCCGCAGGGCCTGGCCGGGGCACCGAGAGCCCGCAGTTAGACGGCCTAGTTCGGCGCACGACCGTACATGGGACGGGTGCGCGTTTGGCCGGGGGGATCTCGGGGAGCGGCGTTGACAGGACAGGTGAGGCCTAAGCCGGGGCGGGGCCTGAGAGGCGGGCCTTGGCCTGGGTGGGCGGGGCCTATCGCGAGGTCGACCTAACAGGGGGCGGAGCTTTGTCCGGCGGGGTTTAAGGTTGGAGGCTCGCGCGGCGGGAGTCTCGGGACCGGCGTCGCGCGGCGGGCCTTAGCCCGGGATGGACGGGGCCTAGGGCGGGGCGGGGCGGGGCTTCTGTGGGGCGGGGCCCTGGTCGGGCGTGGCTCGAGGGGGGGCCCGGCGGGAGCCCGGCCGCAGACGCCGACAGGCGGGGCCTTCTCCCGCCGCCGCGCGGGCTCAGCCCAACGCGGGGAAGCTCCACTCGGGCTCTAGTCCGAGGAGGCGGCTCCGGAGGGGCGGGCAGGCTCCACCTCTCGGGGCGCGCGCCCGCGCCGCCCAATTCCCGGAGCCCAGGTCGTGGCTCAAGGCGGCGGCGGCTCCGCTCCTGGCTAGGTGTCTGTGCGCGGGGCCGGGGCGGGCGGCGGCGGCGGCGGAGAGCACGGAGGACGGCGGCCTGGGCCTGCCGAGCCATGGCGGCCCCGGAGCCGGCGCCCAGGCGGGGCCGGGAGCGGGAGAGGGAGGACGAGAGCGAAGATGAGAGCGACATCCTGGAAGAAAGCCCGTGCGGCCGCTGGCAGAAACGGCGGGAGCAGGTGGGAACGACGCGGGCGGGTGCGGGGGTCGTTGGGGGAGTGGGAGGCCCGAAGCCTCTCCGCGGCCTCAGTAGGCGACCCCCTTCTTGCACCCCTTTGGCCTGGCCCCCATGTCCTGGTGAGGAACCCTTATTCCCCAATGACCAGTCTGGCAGGACCACATCCCCCTGCCCCTGGGGACCATCCTCAACCCCCTGCAACCTGCTTCAGATCCCTTCAGCCCAGCCCCTGGATGCCCTCGGGTTCCCCCCAGAGCGGGCTGGGGACTCCATTGCTGGCTTGGGCCCGTGGGAAGGGTGTAGGCAGAGATTGAGCTCCCACTGCCTCCCCTAACACCTGCCAGCACAGTCATATCCCCACCCCACCACCAGGTGAACCAGGGGAACATGCCGGGGGTCCAGAGCACCTTCCTGGCCATGGACACGGAGGAGGGAGTGGAGGTGGTGTGGAACGAGCTGCACTTCAGCGACAGAAAGGCCTTCTCTGCACACGAGGTGAGGCCTGGGCATACCCTCCCACTCCCCCGTCCCCCCCACCCGACCTCTTGTGACCATCTCGTGACCGCACCCCCCCAACTTCCCAGGAGAAGATCCAGACCATGTTTGAACAGCTGGTGCTGGTTGACCACCCCAACATCGTAAAGCTGCACAAGTATTGGCTGGATGCCTCCGAGGCCCGCGCAAGGGTGAGCCACAGGCACAACAGGGGCGGGCGCGGCACCAGCGGGTGGGGCGGCAGTGGGCACCCGCCCATAGTTGGTAGAGCCGGAGAGCCCGTCCACCCCACAGGTCATCTTCATCACAGAGTATGTGTCCTCGGGCAGCCTCAAGCAGTTCCTCAAAAAGACCAAGAAGAACCACAAGGCCATGAACGCCCGGGTATGGAGAGTGAGCGGGGGCGGCGTCGAGGACAGGACAGGGTCAGGGCGCCATCCGGGATGGAGATGGTGTGGGGCGCGGGGCGGCTTCGGGGGACAGGAACGGGGTTGAGCAGGGGTGGGGGAGCGGTTGCGGTGGGGACACCACAGGCCCAGCCGCCTCTCCCCGCCGGTCCGACGGAGTGCGTCCGCTGCCAGGCCTGGAAGCGCTGGTGCACGCAGATCCTGTCCGCGCTCAGGTGAGGGCCTGGGCTTGCCCATGCACCCTCCCTCCCGCCCCCAGCTGCGTCCGGCCTCCCGGCACCCCCTGACCTGGCTCCACCTGCTCTCCCCCTCCCCTCGCCCCGCAGCTTTCTACACGCCTGCAGCCCCCCCATCATCCATGGGAACCTGACTAGCGACACCATCTTCATACAGCACAACGGCCTCATCAAGATCGGCTCCGGTGCGGGCGGGGAGGGGGGCGGGGCTGGGGGACCCGCGGGAACCCAGGGAAGAGGACACTCGACTTTTCATCACATTGACCCCGCTCTTTCTTCCCCGTGCCCCCTGCAGTGTGGCACCGCATCTTCTCCAATGGTGCGTGGGGACCCTGGGGGATGGAGGACTGTGGAGAAGTCCCTTCCACTCATCTCTGCGCTTGCCCTAGCTCTTCCGGATGATCTCCGAAGCCCCATCCACGCCGAGCGGGAGGAACTGCGGAACCTGCACTTCTTCCCCCCAGAGTATGGCGGTGAGTGCAGGAGGCCCCTCCCTCAGCGCCGCATCTGCCCCACCCGTCCTGACTCACTGTCCCTCTTTCAGAGGTTGCTGACCGCACCGCCGTGGACATCTTCTCCTTTGGGATGTGTGCGCTGGAGGTACCGCCCCATGGCATCCTAGCCCCCTCCCAGCTGCCCGCCCCCATCTCACCTGTGCCGCACCTTCTGGTGCCTGACCTGGCCCTGCCCCCAGATGGCTGTGCTGGAGATCCAGGCCAATGGAGACACCCGGGTTACAGAGGAGGCCATCGCCCGTGCCAGGCACTCACTAAGCGACCCTAACATGCGGGTAAGCAGTTTGCCTGCTCTCCGGGTAGGACTGGTGAAGTGTTTCCCTTAGGCCTGGAGGTGCATCAAGTCAGTGCTGCTGAGGCATGTGAGGTCCCCTCTCCACAAGGGCCCCCCTATCAAGAGGGCCTTACCTGAAGTGCATGTTGAGTTCCAGGCCTGAAGGCTCTAAGGGCACATTTTAAGGTCAGGGAAACCAGAGACATAGTGTGTAGGCACTATTGTGATGCCCATTTTATAGATAAAGAAACTGAGGCTCAGAGAGGCTAGGTACTTTACCCAAGGCTCTAGAGTAAGTAGTAGAACCAGTGTTTGCATCAGGTCTGCCTAACTCCATGTCCTTGCCTTTAAGCTTTCAGGGAACAGGCTAGAAGTGATGTGGCCCCAGCTTGTGCAGAGGGGACACGTGGTGGGCAGCAGGATGGGCAAAGGGAGTATGGGATGAAAGCTGCATCCACAGCCTCGATGACCAGAGTCGAGGGGCTATCTGGCTTAACCACATGCCTCTGAGGATGGGGGAGGGACGTGATGGGGCCTGGATGTGGCTGGTGGGAAGGTGGAGCCAAGGTAGACAAGAGAAGCAGGCTGTGCAAGACATGGATGGGGGTGTGGGGAGGGACCCATCAAGGTCACCTCCACAGTTGGGCCTGAGCTGAAGCACCCAGAAGAGAGGCAGGCTGTGGTAGGCCACACGACCTCGGAGTCTGGGCTGATCCACTGGTACTCCAGGGACTTTCTCTGTGAACTGGGAGGCAGTGTGTGCGCCCCACCCCGGATTTTTGTGAGGGTTGAAGGAAGTTCTTGGCCTGGGGCCTGACTGTCCTGTTTGTAGGATCAGGTCCTGGCTGCTAACAATACCTCTCCCTATGCACATTCCTGCATGAAGGCTCCATGGGAGTTGGACTCCTGTGGTCTGGGGACTTGAGGGCTTCTTCTCCTCACACTGTGGGGCCAAAGCAGAGACCCCATGAACTTCGCCCTCTTCTTTCTCACCCCCAGGAGTTCATCCTCTCCTGCCTAGCCCGAGACCCTGCCCACAGGCCCTCTGCCCACAACCTCCTCTTCCACCGTGTGCTCTTCGAGGTGCACTCGCTGAAGCTCCTGGCAGCTCACTGCTTCATCCAGCACCAGTGTGAGGGGCAGGTGGTCTGTGGGTGGGTCAAGGGCCTGGGGTTGGGATAAGGAAGGGGGCCCTGCAGGACCCGCGGCTCAGGGTTCGCCACCCTGAGTGCTCCTGTGGCTGCAGACCTCATGCCTGAGAACGTGGTGGAAGAGAAGACCAAGTCAATGGACCTGCACGCGGTCCTGGCAGAGATCTCCCGGCCCCCCCGGCCCCCCGTACAGTGGCGGTGAGCAGCTACCACCCCAAGGCCTCCCTTTTCCACCTGGCTGGTTTCAGTCCTGCCCCACTGGCAGGGCAGGCTGGACAGCCACCCTCATGTGCTTCTCATACCTGTGCCAGGTACTCCGAGGTCTCCTGCATGGAGCTGGACAAATTCATAGAGGACGTCAGGTGAGAGCTAGAGTGGGGTTGGGAAGTGAGTGACTGCCAGGCCTGAGCCCCCAGACATCCCAGTGTGTCCCCAGAAACGGGATCTACCCACTGATGAACTTTGCTGCTGCTCGGCCCCTGGGGCTTCCCCGCGTGCTAGCCCCACCCCCAGAGGAGGCCCAGAAGGCCAAGACCCCGACGCCAGAACCCTTTGACTCGGAGACAAGAAAGGTGAACCCCTCATCCTGTTGTCCACTGCCCAGTGGGGTACCCTTCATGTGCCTCGGCTTTGAGTGCCCCTAGCCCAGCTCTCCCCCAGGCTGCCAGAAACCAGGTCCTGGCTGACCCCTCTATGGAGGTTGGGAGGTGTTAAGAGAAGCTGGGACACCCCCATTCCTAGAGACTCCTTGCCCCCTACAGACAGCCCCCTTCCACTCCTTGTTGCCTGTCTCCATGCAAGCTGCCTCCTGATGCCACCTGCTCCAAAAGCCTTTGTCTGGGAATCTCATCTCCCCCTAACCCTCTCTGATCCTACCCCTTTGGCTTGCTGGCTGCCTCTCCGATATTTGTGTCCTGGGGCCTGCTCCAAGGCCTCCTCCTTGGCATTGTGTTTTCCCAGCCCTGCCTCCTGCAAGGTCTCCTCCTGGTCAGGTCCTCTCTCTCCCTTTCCATGTCCACACCAGCTGGGCTCCAGACGCTTTGGCTTTGCCCTGTGTGCATCTCCATGGTCACTGCCAAGATCTGGGCCCCCTCCATTCCATACCTGGATGCTCCTCCAGTCCCTCCCCACCCCAGCCTCCATTCCCACCTGGATGCTCTCCAGTCTCTCCCCACCCCAGCCTCCATTCCCACCTGGATGCTCTCCAGTCCCTCCCCACCCCAGCCTCCATTCCCACCTGGATGCTCCTCCAGTCTCTCCCCACCCCAGCCTCCTTCCCCACCTGGATGCTCTTCAGTCCCTCCCCAACCAGCCTCCATTCCCACCTGGATGCTCTCCAGTCCCCTCCCAACCCCAGACTCTTCCCCACCTGGATGCTCTCCAGTCCCTCCCCACCCCAGACTCCATTCCCACCGCGATGCTCTCCAGTCCCTCCCCACCAGCCTCCATTCCACTGGGTGCTCCTCCAGTCTCTCCCCACCCCAGCCTCCTTCCCACCTGGATGCTCCTCCAGTCCCTCCCCACCCCCGCCGCCTTCCCCCCTGGATGCTCTCCAGTCCCTCCCCACCCAGCCTCCATTCCCACCGGATGCTCTCCAGTCCTGCCCCACCACCAGCCTCCCTCCCAACGGGTTGCTCTCCCGTCCCTCCCCACCCAGCCTCCTTCCCCACCTGGATGCTCTCCAGTCCCTCCCCCACCCCAGCCTCCATTCCCACCTGGATGGCTCTCAGGTCCCTCCCAACCCAGCCTCCTTCCCAACTGGATGCTCCTCCAGTCGCCTCCCCACCCCAGCCTCCCTTCCCACCTGGTATGCTCTCCAGTCCCTCCCCACACCAGCCTCCTACCCCACCTGGATGCTCTCCAGTCCCTCCCCACACCAGCCTCCATTCCCCACCTGGATTCTCCTCCAGTCCCTCCCCACACCAGCCTCCTTCCCCACCTGGATGCTCTCCAGTTCGCTCCCCACCCCAGCCTCCTTCCCCACCTGGATGCTCTCCAGTCGCTCCCCCCCAGCCTCCATCCCACTGGATGCTCTCCAGTCCCCTCCCACCTCAGCCTCCATTCCCACCTGGATGCTCCTCCAGTCGCTCCCCACCTCAGCCTCCATTCCCACCTGGATGCTCTCCAGTCCTCCCCACCCCCAGCCTCCATTCCCCACCTGGATGCTCTCTCAGTCCCCTCCCCACCCAGCCTCCATTCCCACCTGGATGCTCTCCAGTCCCTCCCACCCTCAGCCTCCATTCCCACCTGATGCTCCTCCAGTCGCTCCCCCACCCCAGCCTCCATTTCCACCTGGATGCTCTCCAGTCCCTCCCCACCCCAGCCTCCATTCCCCACCTGGATGCTCTCCAGTCCCTCCCCACCACCCAGCCTCATTCCACACCTGGATGCTCCTCCAGTCCCTCCCCACCCCAGCCTCCATTCCCACCTGGATGCTCTCCAGTCCCTCACCCACCCCAGCCTCCATTCCCACCTGGATGCTCCTCCAGTCCGCTCCCCACACCAGCCCCATTCCCACCTGGATGCTCTCCAGTCCCTCCCCCCCCTCCTCCATTCCCACCTGGATGCTCTCCAGTCCCTCCCCACCCCAGCCTCCATTCCCACCTGGATGCTCTCCAGTCCCTCCCCACCCCAGCCTCCATTCCCACCTGGATGCTCCTCCAGTCCCTCCCCACCCCAGCCTCCATTCCCACCTGGATGCTCTCCCGTCCCTCCCACCCCAGCCTCCATTCCCACCTGGATGCTCCTCCAGTCGCTCAACCACCCCAGCCTCCATTCCCACCTGGATGCTCTCCAGTCCCTCCCCACACCAGCCTCCTTCCCCACTGGCTCCTCCAGTCCCTCCCACACCCCAGCCTCCATTCCCACCTGGATGCTCTCCAGTCCCTCCCCACCCCAGCCTCCTTCCCCACCTGGATGCTCTCCAGTCCCTCCCCACCCCAGCCTCCATTCCCACCTGGATGCTCCCTCCAGTCGCTCCCCCCCCAGCCTCCATTCCCACCTGGAGCTCTCCAGTCCCTCCCCACCCAGCCTCCATTCCCACCTGGATGCTCTCCAGTCCCTCCCCCACCCCAGCCTCCATTCCCACCTGGATGCTCTCCAGTCCCTCCCACCCCAGCCTCCATTCCCACTGGATGCTCCTACAGTCGCTCCCCACCCCAGCCTCCATTCCCACCGGATTGCTCTCCAGCCATCCCACCCCAGCTCCATCCCACCTGGACTGCTCCTCCAGTCGCTCCCCACCCCAGCTCCATTCCCACCTGGATGCTCCTCCCGTCCTCCCCACACCAGCCTCCATTCCCACCTGGATGCTCCTCCAGTCCCTCCCACACCAGCCTCCATTCCCCACCTGGATGCTATCCAGTCCCTCCCCACCCCAGCCCCATCCCACCTGGTAGCTCTCCAGTCCCTCCCACACCAGCCTCCATTCCCACCTGGATGCTCCTCCAGTCCCTCCCCACCCTCAGCCTCCATTCCCACCTGGATGCTCCTCCAGTCCGCTCCCCACCCAGCCTCCCATTCCCTACCTGGGATGATCTCCAGTCCCTCCCACACCCAGCCTCCATTCCCCACCTGGATGCTCCTCCAGTCCCTCCCCCCCAGCCTCCATTCCCACCTGGATGCTCTCCAGTCCCTCCCACACCAGCCTCCATTCCCACCTGGATGCTCCTCCAGTCCCTCCCCACCCCAGCCTCCATTCCCACCTGGATGCTCCTCCAGTCCCTCCCACACCAGCCTCCATTCCCTACCTGGATGCTCTCCAGTCCCTCCCACACCAGCCTCCATTCCCACCTGGATGCTCCTCCAGTCCCTCCCACCCCAGCCTCCATTCCCACCTGGATGCTCTCCTAGTCCCCTCCGCACCCCAGCCTCCATTCCCACCTGGATGCTCCTCCAGTCCCTCCCCACCCCAGCCTCCATTCCCACCTGGATGCTCTCCAGTCCCTCCCCACCCAGCCTCCATTCCCACCTGGATGCTCCTCCAGTCCCTCCCCACCCCAGCCTCCATTCCAACCTGATGCTCCTCCAGTCCCTCCCACCCCAGCCTCCATTCCCACCTGGATGCTCCTCCAGTCCCTCCCACACCAGCCTCATTCCCACCTGGATGCTCCTCCAGTCCCTCCCCACACCAGCCTCCATTCCCACCTGGATGCTCCTCCAGTCCCTCCCACACCAGCTCTCATTCCCACCCTGGATGCTCCTCAGTCCCTCCCCACACCAGCCTCCATTCCCACCTGGATGCTCCTCCAGTCCCTCCCCACCCCAGCCTCCATTTCCACCTGGATGCTCTCCAGTCCCTCCGCACCCCAGCCTCCATTCCCCCCTGGATGCTCCTCCAGTCCTCCCCACCCCAGCCTCCATTCCCACCTGGATGCTCTCCAGTCCCTCCCCACCCCAGCCTCCATTCCCACCTGGATGCTCCTCCAGTCCCTCCCCACCCCAGCCTCCATTCCCACCTGGATGCTCTCCAGTCCCTCCCCACCCCAGCCTCCATTCCCACCTGGATGCTCCTCCAGTCCCTCCCCACCCAGCCTCCATTCCCACCTGGATGCTCTCCAGTCCCTCCAAACCAGCCTCCATTCCCACCTGGATGCTCCTCCAGTCCCTCCCCACACCAGCCTCCATTCCCACCTGGATGCTCCGCCAGTCCTCCCCACCCCCCCAGCCTCCATTCCCACCTGGATGCTCCTCCAGTCCCTCCCCACCCCAGCCTCCATTCCCACCTGGATGCTCTCCAGTCCCTCCCCCCCCCAGCCTCCATTCCCACCTGGATGCTCTCCAGTCCCTCCCCACCCCAGCCTCCATTCCCACCTGGATGCTCCTCCAGTCCCTCCCCACCCCAGCCTCCATTCCCACCTGGATGCTCCTCCAGTCCCTCCCACCCCAGCCTCCATTCCCCACCTGGATGCTCCTCCAGTCCCTCCCCACCCCAGCCTCCATTCCTACCTGGATGCTCTCCAGTCCCTCCCCACCCCAGCCTCCATTCCCACCTGGATGCTCCTCCAGTCGCTCCCCACCCCAGCCTCCATTCCCACCTGGATGCTCTCCAGTCCCTCCCCCACCCCAGCCTCCTTTCCCCACCTGGATGCTCTCCAGTCCCTCCCACACCAGCCTCCTTCCCCACCTGGATGCTCTCCAGTCCCTCCCCACACCAGCCTCCATTCCCACCTGGATTCTCCTCCAGTCCCTCCCCACACCAGCCTCCTTCCCCACCTGGATGCTCTCCAGTCGCTCCCCACCCCAGCCTCCATTCCCACCTGGATGCTCTCCAGTCCCTCCCACCCCAGCCTCCATTCCCACCTGGATGCTCTCCAGTCCCTCCCACCTCAGCCTCCATTCCCACCTGGATGCTCCTCCAGTCGCTCCCCACCCCAGCCTCCATTCCCACCTGGATGCTCTCCAGTCCCTCCCCACCCCAGCCTCCATTCCCCACCTGGATGCTCTCCAGTCCCTCCCACCCCAGCCTCCATTCCCACCTGGATGCTCTCCAGTCCCTCCCACCTCAGCCTCCATTCCCACCTGGATGCTCCTCCAGTCGCTCCCCCCCCCCCGCCTCCATTCCCACCTGGAT